CTAATGCTCACATGGGTGGTGGATGCTAGTCTTTGTAGATGACTACAGAGAATATGCAGAGAGTGGGTCTGGCCATGTAGGATCAGGAGACGGCACACAAATGAGCATTTTAGGGCACCACCATAGGAACAGAAGGCTCTCAGCACTCTGCCTCACTTTACATAGTTGAGACAAAGCGTACTATCTTAAGAATACCCCTACAGATAGAACAAGAAGTGTGGAACAGGTACATCCATAGAAAAGGTTTGCGATTCTCAAAATCTCAAGCCAGACTGACTAGTGAAGGTATTTCTCTCCTAAAACCAGTCAATAAATATTGAAGAAGGTGATTGCTTCTTCAAATGCAAAGACAGCAATGCAAGACTTCAAGAAACATAAAAATCAAGGAAAAACAATACCAGCAAAAGAACACAAGAATTTTCCAGTAACTGTCCTCAAAGAAATAAGATCTACACATTGCCTGACAAAGGATTAAAAATGATTGTATTCGGAAATACAGAGAGCTACAGAAGAATGCAAATAGAACTTTATGAAGTCTAGAAAAATACATGAATAAATGAGGTTTAACAGCAAAATAGAAATTATTAAAAAGAAACTTCAATTCTGGAGCTGAAAGATACAATAAATTAAGTAAAAAACCAGAGAGAGTATCAATAGCACACTTTATCAGGCAGTAAAGAAAAATCTGTAAACTCAAAGACAAGTCATTTGACATTATCCAGTCACAGGAAAAGGAAAAAAAAACATGAAAAGAAGTCTACATGAAGTATAATATCATCACTTAAAAATATATGCATTATAGGAGTCTCAGAATGTGAAAAGAGAGAGAAAAGGGCGAAGAGCTTAGTTAAAGAAATAACGGGTGAAAACATTCCAAATCCAGGGAAAGATATGGACACATGAGCTCATGAAGCTCATAGAACTCCAAACAGATTCAATGCAGAGGATTTTATCAAGACACATTAAAATAAAACCTTCAAAAATTAAAGACTAAGAGATAATTTGAAAGCAGCAGTAGAAAAAAAAATCTCATTATATCAAAGGAAATCCCCATTGGCTATCAGCGTTTTCTTAGTAGAAACGTTGTAGGATAGGAGAGAATGGGATGATGTATTCAAAATTCTGGAAGAAAAAAATTGCCTACCAAGAACACCTGGCAAAATTGTCCTTCAGAAATAAAGAAGCAATAGAACTATTCACAGAAAAAAAAAATGCTGAGGAAGTTCATTTTTTTTTTTTTGTTCACTTATATATTAATGAATGGAAAAAATTTATAATGCAAATTCACTCATTAAAAAACTTAGATACAAATTACAGCATTACAGATAACCCTTTTCTTGTTTGTTTTGTTTCACATGGAAACATCAGAGACTTGATTCATTTCAAGAGACCTAAGTATGAATACTCCAAGTAAATATTACACAAATTGGAAGCATCTTGAATTTTTTAAAGTGTATGTCAGTACATAAATTTGTATGCATGCTTTAAACAAAGTTATAGTACATGAAATAACATGTTTTTGGTAACATGAAAACATGAAAGTATAAAGCTCACTGGTAAAAATAAGTACATAGTCAAAATTCAAAATGTTTAACTACTGTAATGGTAGTATGTAAATCACTTAACTCTAGATTAAAGATTAAAAGGCAACTTGTTAATGGATGAACAATATGAAACATGTAAATTGTGACATCAAAAACATAAAATGGGTGATATATTTTTTTGTATGTAATTGAAATTATCAGGTTAAAGTAGACCGTTATTACAACAAGATGTTTTGTGTAAACCTCATGGTAACCACAGAGCAAAACTGTTTAGTATATCCAAGAGATAAAGCAAAAAGAATCAAAGCATACACTACAAAAAAATCATCATGTGATAAAGGAAGATCGCAAGAAGAAGAGAGGAACAAAGGACCTACATAAAAGCCAGAAAACAGTTGAAAAGATTCACCAGTGACACCGTCTGGTCCTAGAATTTTGTTCGTTGAGAGGTTTCTGATTACCGATTTAATCTCCTTACTAGTAAAAGTCTGTTCAGATTTTATATTTCTTCACAATTCAATCTTGGTAGGTGGTATATTTCTAGGAATTTATCTATTTCCTCTAGGTAGTCACATTCATTGATGTCTAATGGCTCATAGTAATCTCTTATAATCCCTTGTGTTTCTGTTGTATCAGTTGTAATGTCTACTCTTTCATTTTTTATTTCATTCATTTGAGTCCTCACTCATTTTTTGAGTGTGAATCTAGCTAAAATTTTGTTGATTTTGTTTATCTTTTCAAAGAACTGGCTCTTACTTTCATTGTTTTGTTGTTGTTGTTGTTGTCTTTTTATTTTCTATTTCATTTATTTCTGCTCTGAATTTTGTCATTTCCTTCTGTCAGCCGAACTTGAGTTTCATTTGTCCTTCTTTTTCAGTTTTTTTTTTCAGGTACAGTTATTTATTTGAAATTTATTTCTTTATTTCTTTATAAATTTAAATTTATTTCTTATTTCTTTATCACTATGAACTTCCTTCTGAGAACTGTTTTTGCTGCATCTCATAAATTTTGGTATGTTTTATTTCCACTTTTGTTTGTCTCAAAGTGTTTTTTCTTCTGATTTCTTCTTTGACCCATTGGTTGCTAAGTAACATGTATTTGTTTTATACTGTGTACTGCAATTTTGCATTTGATTCACATTTCTAGTTTCTCTGCTGTGAATGTCTATCTTTTCATTAATTTTGAGAATGTTCACATTACCTCATGGAAGATGGTTATAATGTGCATCCTATCAGGATTAGCATCTGTTGATTGTCTTATCTATTAAACTTTGGTCAAATTTTCCTGTATTTTTGAATTTTATGTTATTTTGGATTATGTCTTTAACATTTTAGTACTATGATGTGAGGCTCTAGAATTTGTTAAAATCCTCTGGAGAATACTGATTTGTTTGTTTATTTTAGCATGCAATTGTGCTGGTTAGGTTCTGATCACAAGTTCCATATCATCTTTCGTGTGAAGTAGTTTCAAAGTCAGTTCATAACCTTTTCTACACTATTTGTGTCTCTTGGGGGCATATACCACTCAAGCTGTAATCTAGGATTCAAACGCTCATTCATATTGTAGTTCAATTCTTGAAAAGTTTACTATACTTTTTTTGGATCTGTTCTCTGTGTGTGCAGCTCAGTGCAGAGTCTAGAACTCATATTGGTTCATAACAGAAGTAGAAAATGTCATTTTTTAACTTCTCTTAGCTATTTCTCTCACACTCTTGGACAGTGGGATATTTTTTTCCAGTTTCATTGTTCAGAAAGATGATGTTAACTCAGAGTTTTAGCTTTTTGTACTATTGCACAATCCTGCATAACTGGATTGGTTATTACTGAAAAAAAATAAAGATAAATGAAAACTGAGGATCAGATTAGAATGTATTTTAGAAATATGAAATAGGTTGAAGTTTGAAGGAGTTAAAAAGGGGAATAAAAGTAGGATAGTAAAGTATTATTGTTTCTGCAATCAAATGTAGAATAATTTAATAAGTTGCTTCATAATTAGAGCCAAAAATTTTTTAGCAAGGCATACTTCAGAAAAATATTAATCCTCAGAGATTTTTCTAAGACAGAGTTATCTAAAACTTCATTAAGTTTTTCTGTTTTGACTCACCTGTAAAAAAATTCAGCTACAAAGAATGAAAAATCATAGGAACAACCACATATTTTCTAATTCTCAATATTTTGTTGGTATAGTTGTATTCCATACAAGTATGATAGGTCAACATTTTTTCCCCCTTAGAACTGAATCATTTTCACTTTCAAAATCATTCATTTTCAAAAAGTTGAGCCATTGTGTTTTCTTTTTGTATAACTTTGGTTTCAGTTTCCTTTACCTTTATTATAAAAACATATTCTTGTAAAACTACATCTTTAAAATGAAAGCAATAGTGTAATAAGGAAGAATAATGTGAGAATTATTCTAGAATATAGTCACAAAGTCACGTACTGTTAAAATTTATTTCAAGTACTTGTAAGCTGAATGATAAAACTGCACTATCTCTTAATGTACTGAACACAAACTTCTCTTTTCTTTTGATCATCAAATGGAATAATATGGCTTCTGCTTTTACTTCGACGTTATAGTAAGATTGAAACAGTGCCTGCAAGTTTCCATAGACCTGCATTCACCCTGAAAACCTTTACTAAATGCAGTCTTAATGTGCATTTTGAAAGAAACATTTTCAAGGTATTTTATCATTTCTTTCAACTTTTAACACATTACGAAAGTCTTCAAATGTGAAGGACTGTTGCTTAAACAGTCCTTATCAGTCAGGTATAGTAGAGATGCAAGAAAATCTTCCTAAAAATGACTTATTAGGAATATGGGGAAGGAAAAACTGTATCATTGTGAACAAAGATAAAAAACTGGGTAAGAAAAATGGGAAGCTGGAGAAGTATCATCTTTTAGAATTTTTCATGTGCTTCCATTTTTTCTACTTCAGAGTCATTGATGAATATTTCAGTGTATCACAGGTTGTATTTCATGGCTGCTTGAACAAGACACTAATATGTTCAAAGAATCTTGGAAGGTTAAAAGAAAGCCATGGTAGTAACAACTAAGTGATAGGTTAGGACTTTAGCCTTGGTCAGATTTATTATTTTAATTCAAAGGTTTAAAAGTTCCCATAAAATAAAAATGTTCTCTTATAATCATCTATTTTCATGGTTTTTGTTATTTCAGGTAGGTCCTTTCTAACTTACCCTATAACAATAAACAAATGATGTTCTCAGTGATAAAGATTTGATATGGAATATAAACTTTTAGTTTCTTCTTACAATAAATGATGATGATTTTGCGATTTTACTCTTAATCAAATTACAAATAAAGAAAGAAGAAAGTGAAACTGTTCCAAAAGTGGAAGTAATTTCTTACTGCTTAGGTGATGAGTTGTGCTTATTGGTCATGGCAACCTCTGTAATAAATAGATGTTCTGAAGCTTCTCAGACAATAGAGGACCAGAGGAATAAACTGCAAGAATGGCACATAAGGCATTTCCTATGGAAAGTTCTTCGAAAATCTTTGATGAATACTATATAGATGAAGATGTGGGCTTTGCTCTGCCAAATCCACTGGTAAGAGAGGGCACTGAATTATGGCAAAAATACTTTCTTGTCATTAATTACCTGGATAAGTTAACTTCTATTTAAAAATGTGGTTTAGTAATTTCTACTGAACAAATGACTAACGCATGCCAAAATTAGTGTGAGTTTTAGTAAATGGGTCTCACTTAACTTTCTTAAAATTTTCTACCTAGAAATTTAGTCTTAGATACATTTCGTACTTTCTCACACAGATATAGAGAGTGATGGGATAAGAAAATTATAGAAGTGTTTTGGTTCAATACAATTGCATTTTCAAAAAGAAAAAGAGTAATAAATGACCCATGAGTCAAAGGAATCCCCTTGCTTGACTGATATATCTTATATTATACAAAGTATATGTTTGTACTTTGATTAGGTTTTTGAGATGGCACATCTAGCAACAGTGTTGTATTAATATTGTAAATCGTTACTAAGGATAGGATTCAAAGGAGTCTGAACTACCTTTTTAATTTTTTTGACAAACTTTGCCTACAAAGTGCAAGGCAGGTAGAGTAATGTTTACCTTAACTACTACATTCCCTTAATTCGTCATCCAATGGATGCCATGGCAACCATCTTATCATTAACATTTTAATTATCTAACATTAAACAGCATTTTTAGGCAAGTTACAAATACAACTTTTCCATCTTCATAACCTTCCTAAAAATGTATGTATATTATTAACCTTATTTTCCTGATAAAAAATGTAAGCCATGAAGAATTTAATTATTCAAACTCATACTGTGAGCAATGGCAGAGATAGGATGTGAGACTAAACATTCTGGCGCAAGTTCATGATCTTATAACTATTATGCTATGCTGCCTCTCTTAGATCACTAGGCATGCTTACCCTCCTCATTCCCATTCTTGGGTTTAACAAGATACATGAGATTTTAGCAAACTATTTCTAGCAATTGGTTACATGTTATGGCAGTAATATATAACAATATATTTCTATTTGTTTTTGGTTCAAACAGAGTCCACACTCTAGAAAGAACCTTCAAATGCAGCAAATATATTTTTAGTCAGAGATTTAGTCAGAGATTCTAACTGTACTTAGAAATAACATCCAGTAATACAGGCAATTTTACTGCAAAAAGCACCTAGTTTACTTTATATTTGAAAATATTCAATAATAGATTTGCTCCCCCTCCCTACAAGCACACACAATTGGTAAAATGGGCTTGTTTCAAGTATGTACCTATCAACGGTACAATAAAAGAAAAATCTTTTTCAGAAACTACAAAATCTCATATTAAGATTTTTTCCCCGAAAGAGTCAATTCTCTTTTAAAATTTCAACAATCATGCTAATTATGGAGACCACTAGAACAGATTCCAGGAGTTAAAGCAAAACCCCAAACAAAAGCAAAACAAAACTCTTCCTGAGCTACTTAAAAAATAATGCTGCTATTTGAGATGCTTAGAAAGTTAGATTCAGTGTCCTAAAAACACATGGAAAAAAATTAAAGGTTACCTTATTTTCTTCACTGAAGATCTTTCCTGCAAATTATAAGCTCAAGAACGTTTATTCTATCTCTTATAATCTAGCAGTTGAATGGCTCTCTTATTATAATTTATTAATTTATATTATACCATTTAGGCATCCACTGAATCAGAAGTATATTATTGATTGAATTTTGCATTTGTTGAAATTTCTGTCAAACAGGACACTAATGATACATTAACAAACAAACAAACAAACAACTATTTCTGCTATTTGGAGAAAATAATGACGACCAAAAATTCGGTGTGCTACACAATGAAACACACAACAAAAAATATGTATGAATTACTAAAAACACTAGAGCACAGCATTGTGTGGTTAGGAAGAAGAATTCAAAGTAAAACAAGAACGGTGACTCTCTAGTGAATCTACTACCTAGATCTTTCATTGCTAAAAATCTGCTCTAACAGATTAGCACTGACTAATTATCTGTAGCCCCTGAAAATGTTTGAATTTTATAATACATTTTTCTTCTTGTTTTATATTACTTATAATATTATAATGTTAACTTTTTGCAGAGTAAAACCTCACCTATGTTGATTTGAGTTAATCTGTTGATTTGTACTCTGTCCTCACAGGTCAATATTGATGACACCAAGGGCATATCTGGAAATAGTTTAATGAAGGAAGAATAGGATTAGGTCATATGGGTAATTGTTCAGGGATCTAAATCTCATGTTAAGATGTTTCCTAGATCTTTTTTTTTTTTTTGTATATTTCTCCTTGAAAAAAGACTATAAATATGATAAGATCCAGTTAGACACTTTTATTTGAATTTTATTTGCACTTACTGGTCAAAAAATAAGCTTATGGTGGAACCGAAGCAGGCAATCAACATGTATATATACAGCATTGTTTACGTGTCCAGTACTGTGCCAAGTCCTGTAGGAAATATAGAATTAACAGCATGATAAATCCCTTGCCACCAGGAAGTGAGATCTAAAAAGAGCATGAGTTATTGAAAGTTGGGAATATATTTGAATTGCAATAAACTATATATACAAAATGGGTTAAGAAACTGTCAGAGACTTGTTTTCCATATTTATGAAATGGAGAAAATAATCAACTTTTTGGATCATTACAATAATTAAATGAGAAATGATTGAGCAAAATGCCTAGTCTACTACTGACATTTAATAAATCCATTTTTCTTCCATTTAAAAAGACTTAAAATGTAGTAAAAAAATAATAAAATAATAGCAGATAACAACATATTATTTCACAATGTGAAAAAGTATAACCCATAGGATTCATAATTAGAGATATGAGAGTAGACTGCATAAGTCAGGAAGATTTTAGTGGAAGCTTTGAGGTGATCTTTGAAAAGGAGACAGGTGAGAGCAAAGAAGAGGAGGAGCATACAGAAGGTGCCGAGCTTTGTGTGTGTGCAGGTAGCAACACATGGGCTGGTGTTGCTAGACAGGTAAGTGTATATCAGGGCAGTATAGCACAGAATTGATTTAGAGGCAAGATGGCCTATCAATGGAAGGCAAGACTATTTTACAATAACTTACGCTAGTTAAAAAAAAAGTCATTTCTTTTTTTTTTTAAGGAGGAATTACCTTACCCTTATGATGCCTGGATTTCCATTGCTAAAAATCTGCCTGTCCTGATCGAGAATGGTGAACTACGTGCAGAAGTTGAGAAGGTTTGGATAAGCTAACATTGCATTGTCTGCTTCTATTATAACTTTTTAATATTTTAAATTTGGTTTTGAAGCTATAATGTCACTCATATTGATTTGAGTCAACCTCTCCATTTAATCTTAGTTACCAGTGCTCAGCATTAATGATCTCCAAGGACACAAGTCCCAGCGCCTTGCACACCTGGTCTTGGGGTGTATCACCATGGCATATGTGTGGAATCGAGGTGATGGAGATGTCCGTAAGGTTTGGAGAATTTCTAGTATTTCTTATATTACATGACAGATTTATATCCAGTTTACATTTAATGTCAAAAAAATCTAAATTATAATTGCAGACAACAGTTTAGTGATTACCAGAGGGAAAGGGGGTCGGGGAAGAGACAGATAAGAGTAAAGACAGTCAAATATATGTGACAGAAGATTTGACTTTGGGTGGTGAACACACAGTGCAATAGGCAGATGACGTATTATTGAATTGTACACTTGAAATATGTATAATTTTATTAACCAATGTCACCACAATAAATTTAATTATATGAAGAGATAAAATAAAAAGAAAAAACAATTCACTTACTTAAAATGTCAACTGTAATTGTTATTGGATTTTTAGTCTTTTATTAATATAACACAGTTGCTCAATTCTGTGCATATACATATATATCCTGCTTCTTTCACTAAAATGATATTATAAGCACTTTTACACAATCATCCTAGTCAGCACTTGAAATCACTTTATAATTTTTCATTGAGTTCCTGAACTTTATTTATTCAATCTGCTACTGATACTTTACTTGTTTTTAATGTTTTACAATTGTAAATGGCTCTGTAATGAATATATTTGAATAAGAAACATTTTTCTCTATGACTTTTGGGAGATTGAACATTTTATGGCTATTTTTAGTTAAAGCTACGATGTTATTTCACATTCGTCAACATAAAAGAATATATTGGCTTTAGTCTATTCTTAACACCAGTAGATAACATTAGATTTAAAATAATATCATTTTGTATTTTATCTGGTAATCCAATCACATGAAACCAATATACACTGTAATATCTAAACTTTAAATCATAAACAAAGGAATAAAATAGATTCCAGAATCACGTTCTGCCATTTAGTGAAAGTTTTTTTCCTTTGTTACAAAGATAATTTGTACTTTATCTTTTTATTTTCTTTCCATGCCCTGTTTAAAGACAGAACACATGTAGTCCAACTATATGATGAGTCATCCCCTGACTCTTAGAGAGAGGAAAATGTTGTTCAGCATAGTCATGGGAATACCTTATACTTCCTTATAATCACCAAACTGCCACATGTAGATTATGTGATGACACAAAAAAGTTTAAGATTAGCTCTAGTCTTACAACCTAGTTTAAAATTTAGCTAAGCATATGATCTCTCTAAATATGCTAGAATCGGAGTGTAGGTAAATGCATAGGCATTGTATATAAAAAGAACATTAATAATGCAGCATCAATAAAGGCAACATATGCTAGGTACAGAAGTAGAAGAGTCCAGAGGAGTTAAATAGTAGTTGATATAATCATGAAATGCTTCAAGAAACAAGTGGGACTTGAATTAGTTCTTGAAGATTGGTAGAGCTTATTCAAAGAGGAGGGGAGCAGAAAAGAAAGAGAGAGAAGACTAGCAAAAAAATGTGGAGATCAGAATGTACATAGCATAATTAAAAGATAATAAATTTACCAGACTGGCAATCAGAATTATAAAAGAAATATAGACATATATTTTTAATATTCAGTTTTTGTATGCTTTATCATTTTGAAAAAGATCTTAGTAGCTGGCAATTATATATATATATATATACACATATATATGTATATATATATAAATATTTAAGCAAGAAAATTGTAAGAAAGAGAAAATAAGTGAATAAAAAACAAGATACATCAATACAAAGCACATTTTGCTTGAGAATGAGCAAGAAATTAGTGAGTTTCATAGCAGCTGTGTCAAATATAGATTAAGTTATGTTCAAACATTTCCTTTCTTTCTCTTAAGTCATTTCAAATTAATTATTCAATAAACTTCTTCCTTTTTTGTTTCCCTTTGATCTTTTCTCTAAGTCAAAAAGGGAAAAAATTCATTTCCTTTTGAAATATGTGGAAATCATTTGTCAAACAGAATATTTCTTTCTTTTCTAATCAAAAATATTTTTATTTTATAGATAAATTAAGCCCACTTACAATTATTATAAATACAGTGAATAGGATGTACAAATTAGAGATGGTTTTCTGTTAAATATGCTTTTTTAAAACTTTTTTAAAAATTAAGTTATCGGAGTAGCATTGATTAATACAATTATATAATTTTCAGGTGTACATTATCATTTGACATCTGTATATTATGTTGTGTGTTTACCCTCCAAAGTCCAGTTTCCTTCAGCTACCATATATTTGATCTCCTTTACCCACTTTACCTTAACCCTACCTCCCTATATTTGACCCCTTTTACCCTGTCTAACTCTCCCCTCTTCCTCCACCCTCTACTCTCTGATAACCACTAGTCTATAATCCATGTCCATGAGTCTCTGTTTGTCTTGTTCATTTGTTGCTTTTAGGTTTATATCCCACATATAAGTGATATCATGTGATTTTCAACTTTTTCTGTCTGGATTATTTTGCTTAGCATGATTATCTCGAGTTCCATCCATGTTGTCGCAAATGGCAGTATTTCATCTCTTCTTATGGCTGAGTAATATTACATTGTATATATGAACCACAACTTCTTTAGC